CGCAAATAACACTGCTGCATCAAAGTTCAATACAAAAATCAACCAACAAATCGTAAGCCTCCATTAAATCTATAATAATTCGGCATTACTTTCCATCACACGAAAGGTGGAAAATTCGAATTCTCAAGAACTAAACCACAACAACAAGTCTTTCATAGCAATAGAACTACCACAGCCGTCTAGTCGAGTAACTAAGGAATGACTTTGAATGTGAAAAACTGGGTCGCTACATCATCCTTTCGAAACCGTTTCTACGAGCTTGTCAGCTAGCGACTCTAATCAGCCAACCTTTGCGGAGCAAGATACCCATCCACTCACATTGGATCAGAAGACTTTTTGCACATAACCTGTATCCAACCAAAAACCTAACCAACGTCAAGCAACAATCACCATTACTTTAATTCTTATGGAAACTACTGCACGCTTATGAATCACAATTTCGGAACAATAGTTTTCCATGATTTTCGCTATAAAACTCTAGCGCATATTCACAAAGAGTTCCATTCATTTTTTACAATACCCAATAACATGTTTCTTCCAAGAGGTTCTTCAGTCCATTCGAGCATCAATGGTTACATGTCTAGTTTCGAACCAACATATAGCCTACGTCTATCCCACGAGAGCCCAATGCTTCCTTGTTGATTTTCTCTGTAACATATACAACATTCAATTTAGTCATTCCCACAGTTGTTACATCAAATTACACAAGTTCATTGACAACCAGTAGCCAAACGTTCTCACGGTCTGGCGCCACCGGCACCTTTTATTATCAAGCCATTCAAATAAACGTGTATGTGACAGGCAATTACAGTTTTGCATGTTATAGTGCAGCTAACACATACGGCTATTTGTATGTTAACACTTTCGATCCGTCGAACGTTAATGTCAATCTGATAGCTCAAAACAGCGGAACTGGTGGCAATTTTCAGTTTTACATAACAATCGTCCTTCAACCAGGGTCTACATACATTTTGGTTGTCACAACATATGCACCAGGCGTGACTACAGTGTTTTCAATCACTGCATCAGGCCCAACGAGTATTGGTCTTCTGGCTACTACCACCAGGACGAGCATAACATCGGAGAGTACGATTCCGACTATAACAGCGCCACCAGGTAAGATCGTGTAGACTTGTGGTTTGTAGTTTCTGAAGAAGGAATTTTTGGGTGGCTGTTTTTTTCTTGGTCGTGTTATATGCTACTCTTGTAGATATGGATAGAGTTAAGAGCGTCGCAAGTCATGGCCTGTGATGGAGATAAGTTTTTTGGTCACTGTGAAAGTAGAGCCATAGACTCGTTGCGACATTAGGCGTGAATCCATTGGAAATTGATGGTCATTGCGTGATTGTTTCAATGATCTTCGAATTTTTAGAGAAGAAAACTGTTTGAGTCGTATCCATCTGACGAAAATGCAAGTTTTCAATTGCGCGCGCTGTTAAAAAGCTTGTTAACCTAGGAGCTTCGGTTTAAAAATATGAGAGTCACATACGTTGATTAGATTTACTGAGCTAATGGAAAATAGCTCTAGTATATGTTAGCGTCCATGATACATCACTTGGACGCTCACTTAGCGTTGTATTGCGCCTTCCAGTCTAATTGGCTTAGAGCAACTGCCCGGATAGCAGGAGGTGTTGGTTCGATCCCCACGAAGGTCAGCATTTTCCTCTCTTTCCATTCTCTCACTGTATGTCCATCATAAGCTGACAGTATAAGAACTGTTAGCGCAATCCCTTTGGGATTAAGAATGTGATACACGATATACCTACTGCTCGCATTCACATGAAAGTGTGGTATGCCCTGGAGTCTTTATTGGTTTTGTGAGAAAGTTTCTTTGTCAGTGCATTTGATGATTTGCGCTAGACTCGAAGCTGGTCTGTAACGGACTCTGCTACGTCTTAACTCTATCTGCCAATCTGCGATAACTTCTGATGACTATCTGTCACACTCTTGTCATGACCTTTTAAGACCTTCTGTCATGTTCTATGGTGGGGGGGGGGG